AAAGGACTCCCCAATTCTCACCTCTCCCATTTTTTTGGGTTTCGTTTCTCAGTCTAAAAAGGGGGCGTCATGTGTTCACCCACTTACCCCCTTCCCTAAACCAAACCAAGGGGCAAACGGTGTTCCCCGTCCGAACAAAGGCATCGATCTCTTCGACTGGGGTCACCACGTCCGATGTTCAGCATGCTCACCGTGCGGTCCGATCCGCTCTCGTGTGGGCCAAGTTTATTACCTGGTGCAAGCTGGAAATCGCTCAGAACAGTAACCCATGGTTGGTTTGAGGGTTTCGTTTCCCTTTGAATGTATACGTGTTCTGAAAAATATGTTTGTTAAGATGTAAGAACGGGGGCCAACTTGTGAAACATATGTACACATTTCTATGCCCATGGCTTGTTCTGAGAACTTGGGACCAATTTCTCATGTTGGTTTCCTCTGGGCTTTGCTCTGAGCTAAGCGGCTGCGGTGCAGAAGGCCCGGAATTCTCCCAGCCAAAAGGAACAGCAGGGCAACATCTCACATTGCAGTATTACTCTCCTGAAATTTCTTTGCGCACGCAAACACAAACAACCACAAACACACTGACAAAAGTTTCCCCGATTTTGAGACCATAGTTTGGAGAGCCGAGTCATTCCAAAGCAAATTCGAGAGAGTCGGGTAAGTTTGATTCACTTCCAGAGTTTCGAAACCCGACATGTCCGATCGGGGTTTGGGACGAAATAAGCAGGGGTCACTCCAAATGGACTTCAAACGTTTTGGGGAAGATCGTTTCGGTGGTAAACAAACAGTTTTGGACTTGTCTTGGCCAGTTCTCTCAGGAAGTGAAATTTTACATTCCTTTACCAAAAGCGACAAGCAAAGGCACAAACGGGAGACGAGAGGTTTCCATGCTGCCAAATATCTACCTGTCAACCACTCACGTCAGCATCCGTCCAGCCCACGAAAGGCCAGGAAACTCAGGTGTTGTTTACGATGGTTGAAATGGACAAGGAGCCAAGCCCTGCCACACGCTATGGCACTATGGCAGATTTTGTGTATTCTCCGCGGCGTTCAAAGATTTCATGGAAAGCCCAACACTTGGAACACCGACAGGGAGCAAGGGAACGGCCACTGACCGAACCAGAAGCTGGTGGAATCGGGGCAAACTGAGCTTTGGTTTTTGATCCCGTGTCGACTCCCTTGGGTTCTCAGCAGCTTCCTGTTGGATTTCCAGGGCTCCTTTTTGGCGCCGGCGCCTGAACCGCCCCGTGGGTTTTTAGAGTTGTTTTGTTCTTTTCCTTTTTTTCTCTGGTCAACAGCTTTCGGGAGTCCCTTTGTTCTCAGGTCTCAGGGCGTGGTCAGGCACCGGCCCCTCACGGCGCCACACGCTTCTCGCCGATGCTGGTAAACACATCCGACAGCAACGCTTATTGTAACGCATATTGATAAGCACATCCGCTCCACCCCGCGCGCGCATTCGTCACTCACATGGCAAGCGCATCCGCTCGACTGCACATGATAAGCACATCCGCTCACGGCATGCGCGCAGCAATGCTGCGCGTACGAGTGGCGGCGCACCAATCCGAAGCGCCCTGTGCTCTATCGCCTCGGCGACTTGTTCAGAAAGGCATAGCCAGTTTTGATATCTGCACGACGTCCGAAACTTCACCTGCCGGGGAAGGAGTTTGACTATGGTGGTTTCGCCCTAGCGAACGACAAAAAGCCAAAAAAAAAGAGAGAACACCGTTGTGAGGGCTTGAGCGCGCTCATGTTGACGAGTTGCGGCATCAGTGTCCGTTTTGCTGAGGCGAAGTCATTGTTACCAAAAACAACAGTTCAGACATGACTGAGAAAAGAACCGGGGGGCGGTTCGGGCGCCGACACCTCGTTTTTGTGAGCTGGATCCATGGGCTTCGGCGGCTTCCGTCAGATCGCCTTCGAAGAACAAATCTGGTGCGAGCCGGCAGGAAAGCGGAACTGAAATGCAGTTCAAGAAGGCTACTGCAATTTTGCCAAACACCTATCGACAACCAAGTTGCTCCCCTTTAGAGTGTCCGAGTCTCGACTCAACTTGAAATGGCCGTGTCGTTCTGAAGTGAAAGAGGAAACCGGCCTTGCTGGTTCTCAGCGGGGACAGACTCGGTCATTCCCTACCCGAGGTCGGATCCCGAGGTTTGATGCCCAACGATACAATGATGTAATCCATCGATGGGTCGATTGACGTCCTCCTGTCCGCTTGCTGTTTTGCGCATTTGCCGCTTTTTTTAACTTGACTGCTATTGGCTTGGATCTTTAGACTTTAACTTGTCGGTTGAAATCAAGGGGTTTCCCATTAAACCCCCAAAAAGTTATAAGCTTTTTTCAGGGGGGTCGTGCCAGCAACCAAGTTAGGGGCCCGGTTTCAGAAAGGAAATTTGAAATGAGCAGAACAGCCTGACGACCTCGATCGATCCGATTCGATGCAGGTGACAAGGCAGTCAGCTTGGCTGCACTTAGCGCCAATGACACCGCGGTTTTCAGGTCTCGTCAGGTTGGCTCGGATTTGGATTTGAACCCATTCTTGCAGAGGTCAAGGGGAAACCCCTCCAGACCACCAGACCACCCCATCGGCACCAAACCACCAAGAAGGAAGATGAGGTTTCCACATGTTCCCCGCGGTTTCCGAATGTTTGCCGATACTTCCGGGCTTTCGGAAGTGCCAGGCTTGCGGATGTTTGTTTTTTTCGCGTGGATTTTTGTTGGGTCCGAAACCAATGGCAACTCGATCCAACCGCAAAAAGGGCCGTGACTGGGTCACTGGGCTGGGTTAAAACAAATACATCTGCACAAATTGGGATACGCGTACCAGCGATTCCACCCCTCACCAATGTTTCTTTTAAGCTGGGTTCCTGTTTTCCAGTTTTTGAGTTTTTCAGATACTGAGATCGTGTTACTTGTGGAGCCTGGCGGGAAGCCACCCGTGCTTGGGGCAGGCGGGGCAGGCGGTTCGCTGTATCAAGACAACCCACATGGGTGGGTTGATGCAACCATTATTCATTTGAAAGGGTAATGTTGACCCCCATATTAATCAACCCCAGTGTCTTACGCAGTTTAGGGGGTGGGGGCCCTCCAAAAGTCTGATTCCCCACCAAGCCCCTTCGGCACACCCCCTTGTGATTAATGGGGTTGATTCACATGGGGTGACCTCAATCACGTCGTAACCCTTTTGTTTGTTTCTCCTCTTGGTTTTACAGGAGGTTTTGGTGAATGCTTGAACATGTGCATGTAGACGTGTTGGTTTCTTCTATGCCTGGCGTTGTTGCTTCACTGGTATTCCAATATCCAGTGCTTAAGTGAGGCAAGACCTAACATCTTTGAAGGCTTGGCTGGTCGACACGAGGGGACGCACTTTTCCTCGGCCCTGGCGTCGGAGGCCACAACCGAGTAGCTCCTTGTTTTGCGACCATGACAACGCCTTGGAACTCCATAGCAAAACTTCAGTTCGCTTAAACAATATGTATATATATATATGTGTTTGTTCTCTTGTTGGTTTTAGATCCGGGATCTAGCACTACTATTTTTCTTGTTTGTTTTCCGGGGGGGTGAACAAAAATTAAATGGAAGAAAAGGGATTGCCCCTTTAAGACCGGTGACCTCAGGTCTACGCTATTGTGCAGAGCGCCTGCGGCGAGGAAAAGATCGTGGCTCGGTCGGAACGGTCAGCGTGCGGCATGTTTGATTCCTTTTCGGACTGATTGCGGACCCGGTTTTCCCGAAACATGGTTGTTGTCGGGAAACATGTTTTACATTTTTGTTTGTTGTGGTTTAGTCGTTGAAGTCCAACCACTTCACTGCTAAAATTCCAATTTTTGCTCCCCTTCAACGTCAACCAAGGAAATGGGTTGTCCAAACGGTTCTGTTGGTTTCCCATTCAAAACCCGCCAACAAAAGGGAGTGTAAAAAGAGCCTCGAGCGTAACCCTCGTGTCCCGATCCGTGTGGTCTTCTTCAGGCCTGGGACCTTGTTGGGGTTGTCAAAGGGACTCATATGGGCAGATGTGGGTAAATATGTAGCATACATGGATTCCAGGAGTATGGTTGTCAAAGGACCCCCAGTAGGGTCAAATTGATTCCCCAATCTCAACAAGGGGCGATTTAGCATCTCATAGCGCCCTTTTTTAGCATGGGATATTGGGGTTCCTTTTTGGCTTCCCTTTCAAATCACGGGGAAACGTGCCCTCAACAGGATATATATATATACATATACATATATATATACACATACATGGTCCAGTCCCCAGGCCACCAACCCCCCCCCCCCCGGCCCCCAAGGGTAGGGTCCCCCCCCCCCCCCAACCACGAGTGGATCCCCACACCCCGCTGCTACGTTCCCCAGACCCCCTCCTCGAGCCCCTGAACTCGCACCCTTGCATCCTGACACGTAGGACAACTCAGCCCACAACAAACCCCAAACCCCAACCCTAAATAAATCCTACGCCCCTAACCCTTAACCCAAACCCTAAACCAACCGTAAATCAACCTTAAACCAACCCTAAGCCAACCCAAACCAACCCAACACCCACCTAAACCCACTGTAAACCACTCTAAACCAACCCCAAACTAGCCGTATACCCACCCTAAATCTAAATCAGCCCTAAGCCAACCCTAAACCCACCCCAAACCCACCCCAAACCCACCCTAAAGCCAACCCTAAACCCAAGCCAATCCCAAGCCAACCCTAAACAAACCCAAACCAGACCCCAACCACCCACCCAACCACCCAAACCCCACCCCTCCACCCCACAGGAAGGGGGGGGGAGGGGTTGGGGGGGCGGAGGGGGGGGGATCCACGGCCTGGAATATATATATATATACATATACATATGTATACATACATACATACATACATACATACATATATATATATATATAAACTATAAGAGATACATACACATGTTTGTGTGTGCGTGTCCAGTGTTCCAACCCAGTTCCCGCAATCCGAACCAGCCTTTCGGAACGATAGCGGGCATGGGGGATGTTACAGCTGGGGATTTGGGTGTGGCGATTGAAGCCTGGCACTAGGTGGTGGCGTTTCAAGCCTTGCACTAGGTTACTTGTTGTCGGTTGACCGCTTCTTTCTGGTTCTCAGGCAATTATTTTGGGGGAAAGGGCATGCAACCTCCGCGAATCCCCAAAAACAAACATGGGATTGTTCGGTTTGGGGTCAGTTGTTCTTGCTGCGGGAAATAATTACCGGGACTTGGACACGTGCGTACTGATCGAGACTGAACAACCGTTTCGGATCTTGATTTGGGCAGTTTCAGTGTCTGATGAAAGGCAAGCAATTTATCTACGCAACATTTACACGCAAAAAACCTCCAACTGGGTGTCGTATTGGTATGGGAGTGGTTCTATTCTTCCATGAGCCGTGGCAAGTTCGGGCAGGGAGGAAGTGCATAGGGCTCCCCGTTTTAGGTTTGGTCAGAACTAGATGGGCACCCACTGGTTTAGATTGGTTGGAACCGGGGACACTGAAATAGTAATAAACAGGGGTTCATTAATCCGGGGTCAACACTACTTCGGTGTTGCGGCTCAAGGAAACATAAAGGGAACCCGTTGCCGAGCGCCGAAGCCTAAACATTTTTGATGCATAACACGGGAGAACACGGACCTTAGGGCCCAGAAGCCTAAACATTTTTGATGCATAACACGACTTCCGATGCTTCACGACACGGGAGAAAACGGACCTTAGAAAAGGGCCCAAAAAGGAGGTTGGGTCCAACGAAAAGTCGGAGCCAAGTCCTATCTGACCTCTGGCCAAAGAGAACCATAGGTGACTTTTTGGACAAAATCCAGTTGTCCATGGTGAATGGGGCGGATTTATCACCTTTGGAGGGGAACACCCCCATAATAAACTGGGCTTTATGAATCCGGGGTCAACATTCGCCTACAAAAGGACGCGTGGATCATTCGAGGAATCTGTCCTGGCTCGCACTGACAGCGGAAACTCGCGGCTCGCTCATTTCTGCCATTCCATGCACGCAAAGTGGTTGAAGGTCAGGAGCCCTTGGGACTTTGCAATCATGAGGGTTGAAATAGAAGGAACCAGGACCATGACCCATAAATGGACCAGGACCATTTTTATTTACCAGCCATGGCAAATGACCCATTTTATTTATTTATTTATGTTTACCATGGCTCATTTGATTGATTCGTTGAAAGCCTCAAGCAGCTTTTCACCGCTCAGGCCTGAAACAGAAACAAAACACAAAAACACGGCCATTTGCTGGCCAGTGTTTGTTCGCTTCAGGACAGATTGCGGTTTCTGGCAGGCGGGTCCAACTCTCCGAGGATGTACTTAAGGCTCAAAATGGGCTAAGCCTTTTCTATGGGGTGCTCCTCTATGATTTCGGATTTCCCCTACTTACCTTTTCAGAAGACCATGTGGCTGTGGCTGTGGGTCAAAACTAATGGTACCATTCTGGTTGCTAGGTGAATTCACCACCCATTTGAATGGACCTATTTTCGCGGTTGGACTGAATCGGATGTTCACTGGGGGCTAACCGATTTGGCTTTTGACCCACGGCCATGTGGGTGAAGAAGAAGTCGAGTCTTTTCAGTTCACCGACTCAAGATATCACTTGCACCCCTCTCAAGTTGGATCCAACTTCTTTCGGGCGGAATCCGAACATCGGAGCACAGAAAGCTGCGGCGTTCCTGGTGGGCTCCCTTGAAAGAATGCTGAAGATGGTACATGGTTGTTGTTGGGAGCCATTTACCATTTTTTGCTTATTGTGGTTTAGTGGTTGAAATCCAACCACTTATCTGCTAAAATTTAAGTTTTTGCTCCCCTTCCAACGTCAACCAAGGGTAAGTACGCCGCATCTCTGGTTACTGCAGGTGGCAACCAAGCTCGTGTGAGCCAAAGCTGAAATTCGGCTTCGCGCGGAACGGTCCGCGCGAATTCGAAATGCTCGAAACTTCCATATGGGAGTGCCGCGACAGGCGACGGGCAATCGGCGGCCTTTGGTGTTTGGTGTTTGGTGTAAGAACTTCTTCGTTCCACCCCCCCCCCTTTTTGGGGTCATTTTGAACATGTGGTTTGTTCCTGGAGTCTCCATGACCCCTAGAAAAGGGGGTCATGATATTTTTGGGTAATGACCCCATTTTGAACGGGTCAGGGAGACTCTAAGTTTTCGTTTTTGTCCGATGGAATCTGTTTGAGTGTCTTTGTGTGAACAGGAAGCCTTGGGGAACCGCCCCAAAATGATTTCGACCGGTGGCCTTAGGACATGAAATAGCATCGGGGTAAAGCGAGCCCCATTTTGGCCCAAGAATTCTCGGCCATGTTAGTAAATACTCACTCACTCACATTAATTGTCCGCATGGTTTTGTCTTTTTGTTGAGGGTACCCCTTTTTATAGTTGGCTCAACGGGAAGCCATCTAGGGAAACACTTCTTGTTTTGGGGCGGGTCCCCTATCTCACTTCCTGAGTTCATGAACTGCAAACTTTTTTCGGGTCTGGACCATTTTAGAGTTTATTTCCTTTTTTTGTTTGGATTTTATTTTTCATTTCACTGTAAGTGTAGAGTTTGGACCTTTTCTTGGGCCATCCACTCAGCCCGTGAGCTATTTTAAGACACTTGAGACTCTCGAAATGGAAGCCACGTTTTTCGGGCTCGGATGCCGTCGAGAGCCGGCCTGCGCGACCATTTTGCGAGAGGACAGCGACCAGCTGCTGGGCTAAGCTGGCTTGGGGATTTGCATTTCCTGGCCACAGGAAGTTTGACTGCACAACTCACTTTGGAGGGCCAACCGCTTGGTGAAACCACGGCTTTAACCGCTTCAGGAACGTCCTCTTGTGTTTTTCCTAAGGAATTGGAAAAGGTAAGCCACAGATTCACAACGCATATGTGGAGCTCACCATGGTCCGGGCAAAAAACAAGCCTATTGAAGGCAGCTTGCTCGAAGATATCTTGCCAAGATGTGCTTGTGTCGTTGAAGCCTGCTTGTTCTAAGCTGACCCCAGCTCACTCGGTCCAAGGGGCCCAAACGACCAATTTCTCGCACGACAACCTGCGATTTCTCAATTCCTGACAGAAATCCATGAACCCCCAACCAAGTTACCATCAGAACATGGGACTAGAACTTACCAAATCCCCGTCTTACTTGGGGACACCTGCTTAATGACCGTGGCTCTGCTTTTTTCAGGTTTGGTCAGACCCGAGAATTGAATGTGTGGGTGGCAGACAAACATCATCTCAAGGTCTGTACATGTGCATGCAGGTCTCACTACAACTTGTTCACTTGCAAAGCGGAAAGGGTGACTAGCCAGTAAACCATGACATACTTTTTGCACGGTGAAGGCCGCAGAGTCATTTCGATCTGTCCCTTGGGGATCGATCATGTGCAAATGCGACCCGAGGCTTTAGGAGGAACTCGATCCCTTCCTTCCAAAATTCCTGCTTTCCAAGCATACCAAGCTAGTTAAGTAAAGTAGGACAGGGCCGTTTCCTTAAAACGAACCCGATGGTGCAGACTGCGGAATCTAAATGCGCGGCAAAACGCTTCCCATAGCTGCCACCACCGACCCCCAGCCCACAAGTCAAGATGCAGCGAGATATTTCCATGGGTCAAACTCCCTTACCCCCAGTGAACATCCCAATCCCCACTAAAATAATTAGGCTCTAAAATGGGTGGTGAATTCACCTAGCAACCAAAATAGGATCCGATCCAAAACGGTCTTGACCACCACAGCCATATATGGGCGTGGCTCAAAACTAAAAGAGCTGGGGTTACGCAGGGTTTCAGTCTTTGGTTCCATTTGCCCAGGGACCATGTTGGTACAATTATTGACCATGTTGGTACCAAGGGACCATGTTTGCCAAGGCTTTGGTTCCACTTGCCCAGGGTGCCATATTGGTACATGTTGTTGACCCACATATGTCCATGGGAGGTCCGGAAACCCCAAGCTACCTCCAGGAGCGGAGTCGGTAGCTGAGGCCCAGCAAAAGGCAAGCGCTTCGAGCCGGTTCTTCACGCGCGCGGTGACAAGCTCTGGGGCAATTTTTTGAGGAGCTCCCCAGTGGTGGCCCGATTTTCGGAGGATTCCTTGTTGCTCTTTTGCGAATTCTAGTATGTTGCCCCAGGGTTCTTGTGTCAAAATGTGTTGTTTCCACTTCAATGAGACTTCTGGAAGGTAAAGTCCCCGTTGGCAAACGCGATTTCTTACACCTCATGAGCAAACCACAAGTTGAGAAGCAAAACACGGAGGTATCCCAGTTGTGGTTTGGGTTGGTGGTTCGGATGAGGCTTGAACCCCTGGTTCTTGCAGCGGGTAAATGGGAAACTGCTCTGAACCACCAATCTGCGCTCGAAACCACCAAGAGGGAAGCTGAAAGATGTATTTCTATATCTTGGGACCAAAGTTGTTGCCGTTTTGGGTCGATTTCTGAGGCAACCAGAAATCATCGGGGTTGGTTGGTCAGAGGCGACAACATCTGTCGTGATTTGCCGGAGAGCTCCTTCTATACGAACCACTCCCCCCCCTTTGGCCTGTTTGAGTTTTGTTTTTGGTTGGCAGGTGTTTTGTGCCACAAGCGCTTTCGAGATGTTTGTCTCGAAATGAGGGACTCCACAAATCTTCGGTTTCCTTACGGTTCTCCTTTGAAGGCACCCGGGAAGCCTAAGACGTGCCCTGTTTCCTCGCCTCCCGTCGGAAAGCCTGGCTCTTCTGAGATAGGGTTTCTCAGCTCTGCGTGCCTGGGGTCATTGATGAGCTCAGGGAAATATATTGGTTTGGTACTTAACACTACAACCATATAGTTCAACATTAATTATAATGATTATGGTGTCAAATATATCAATCTATGTTCAACAGTATTGTCCAGATACATCAGGTCTCAGCAAATATGTGGGTATGTCAACTAGTTCCTTGGGGCTCCAGGCTCATTTTGAGAAGGACACACCTTCACGGAGGCCCATTTTGACATTTCGCCGTCTGGTTGTCTCTCCAAGGATGAAGAAGCACCAGGATACATTAACTAGCTCCCCCAGTAGTGCCGTTTCTCACCCCTTTTTTGGTTGGGACCCTCCTCTACTAAAATAGACTACAGAAAGTTGGTAGCCTTATTGTAACCTCTCTACTGGAGGAGCTAATTAACTTAGTTAAATGCGATGGCTTTCTTTCCCATGTCAAAATTCCTCTTGGTACTGTCCAAAAAATCCAGAAACAGTAGTTGGGGTGTTGGCAGAGTGAAAGCCAACCACTCCCCCATCCCTTTGACTGTATATAGGTTAACGAGTTCCCCACCTTGTACAAAGCCCAACAAAAAATAGCTGGTTGCCCATTCTATCCTTCTGATGTCTTTCCATCCGCAGCCGCTGTCAAGGGTAGACTTCCGAATCGGATCAAGTCCAAGCCTTAGGTTTCCAAGCCGTTGCTTGGCTGCATGTCTGTTGTCGTGAACCTCGAGGAATCGCTGTGCTTTCGACGGGGAAAGCAAAGGGAAAAAAAAGAGGAAAACCACATTAGACAGGCGGCCCAGGTTGCTGTCGCGCGGGATTCGGTTCTGGGTTTAAGTGGTTTGTTCTATCCAGATTTAGGATCGAGCTCACATCCAAAAAAAATTGGGGACGCGGGTCATGTACCTCGGATGCAGAGGTGTCGGGTTCTCCGGAGGTGACTTCAGGCTTTCTGTTGGCCCACTTGTTTCAAACAGAGCAAAGAAACCGCCCAAGTTTTGGGAGGTTCAGGACCCAGTTGAAGCCATATCCATCGTAGCCTGGGAGTTTTGTTCTTCCGCAAACGTCGGTTTGAAGGAACGTGGTTCGAGGTCTGTCCAGTTCAGCTTCATTTCCCACGTTTTTGTTGAATCGACATGGGCAGTTTGCGGGACCGGGCGCCCCTTTTGACCCAGGTGTTGAGTTTTCTCGGTTTCAAAGAGCCGAAGCTGAAAGGTTTTTCTCGGTGCCGGGTGGATTGAGTTCCAAGCGGCTAACGCGGGGTGTGAAACATGGGACCAGCGGTTTCTTCCACCGGTTTCTCAGGGCCCCGTCTTATTTGAAGCAGGTCAGCCTCGGTTTCCGCGAAAGACAAGTGCCAGTGAAGCTCAGAAGACTTCAAGAAGAAACAGACCATCAAGCAACAAAGAAGCAAGAAGACCGGCAAGAGCGCAGGAAAAGGCGAGCCACGTCAATCACAAGAACAAGAAGACGAGCTAACCAAACAGGAAGCACAAACAAACGCACATGAAGCACAGGGTCATGAAATGGGTGTTGTTCTTTTTTGAGGGACCCCTTTTTGTTTTCATTCGGACAACCAAAGGAAAACTGTCTGAACCCTCGAACTGCCCGAGAGATTTGGACATCACGGTAGTTTGAGGGTTCAGGTTCACTTTCCTTTTTTTTTGGGGGGGGGGTTACCTGGAGACAAAGCTTTCGTTGCAACCCCTTTTGGCGTTTTTTTTTTCTTTTTTGAGGAGAACCTATGGAACAACGGACAACGGTGCGCGAGAAGCCGCATTTGCGTCGCAGAGGCGGCACAAGAAGGGCATGGATTCATGATTGATCCTCTGGGCCATGTGGAAGAAGGACCTATGCAAGAACCCATTTCATTTTTTTGGGGGGCTACTTGGAGACAAAGCGTTCGTTGCAACCCCTTTTGGTGTGGTGTTTTTGTATTCGGAGAACCAATGGAAAGCTTCACTGAGGACTCGATGGCGGATGATGACCACACCTTCGAGTCCGCGGATGCTGGCGCCTCCCACACCTACCCCATGCAGGCGCTCTCTCGGATTCTGGGGCGAGGGGTTTGCCCAAAAAAGCGCAGCTCTCGGAGGGCCGAAAGGGGGGGGGGCGATGTTGCCCCTTTTTGAAGACAACTGTGCATAGGCGTTCTTTGTGTTGGGTAGCCTTTCTTGGATTGAATGTTGGGTTCGGACAGACACCAGCGGGTTTTCGGGATATATCTAGGCCTCCAGTAAACACTTTAGGCAGCTCCAGCTTTTGTTCCCCGAACGGTGCATGGCAGTTTTACTGAATTACTGAAACTGGAAGCGTTCGTCATGCTTCACCTGCTTTGCATTGCTGATCTTTTTTCCGGTTGCAACTGGAAGACCCACGTCGTTGAGGTAGGGCCACGGTTGGCTTTTTTTGTTGGTTCTCAACCATTTCTCTCTCATTTGGAGCCTGAGCACATCGGGCACACCTCGAAGTCGCTGGCCGTCTTTCTCAGCCAATGTGACCCTCAGGGTCGGATTTGGGTTTGAGCCCGCTGGCTCTTGAGGAATGGGAAGCTCCCGGACTTCCAGGCTCCAAAGTTCTGGGGGACACTTCCCCCAGTCTTTCCAGGGATCCGAGTCTTTTCAGAAAACCATCAGAAGCCAGAAGGAAACAGCTGGTTTTTGAAAAAAACGATGGTTGAAAAGACTGGACAAGGAATCAACCCCTGGTGCAGTAATCAACCCCTGGTGCAGTAATTACCGTAGCTGGGAAGCTGACCGATTTGGCGGACGCGGGTTCCCGACGCGAGGCGGGCGAGATTCGCAAGGGCTCCCACCTCATGATCAAGGGCCGCCCCTGCAAGCGCCCTGGCAGCAAGCCTCAGGCGTCAAAGTTAGTGAGGCAACTTTCAAGAGAGTGGTAAATGAGCGCACGCAGACAAGTGGGCCCAAGCAATAACTGCCCCACTAGTGTTGGATTTCCACATGGCTTATCCGCACGGCCTGCTGGTCTGATAGGCTACAAACCGTGCTGTAAAAAACAAATAACGTGGGGAATTGCACTGCATGACACAAGCATGGAAGCGCATCAGGCTACCGCAAACAAAAAAACAGCACCACACCTCTAGAACCAGGCTGCACCACCGACCAATTTCCGAGCACGCATGGATATTTTTTCCATGGAGAATCCGAGGAAGCGGCCGTCTTTTTGGCCGGTTCGATTTGGGGTTTGCGATCCGGGCTCACGCGATCCATCGCGATCCGGGCTCCGGGCTGAACACATTTCGCCAAGACCTGGGTCAAATGTTCTACCACTCGCTCCCCCAGTAGCTGACCCCTTTCTCACCCGTTTCTTTTTTTTGGAGGGTTCCCATACTAACATAGACTACAGAAAAGATGGTACCCTTATTCCAAGCTCTGTACTGGAGGACCTATACAAGGATTTTCTACGGATCGCGAACGGACTATTTGGGATAGGTTTTGTGGAGGACACTTCACCTGGGACCTGAAGTGCAAGAGGACAGTTCACGAATTGTCGGGTCAGATCGAAGGCTGCTAGGCTGTACCTCTGGACAATCCACCTACCAAATCAAGGTGGACAAATAAACATCATAAATATGATATGCCATTCTTTAAAGCAGTTCACAAAACATCAAAAAGGTAGACACTATATAATATATTTTAATATGATTCGTGCTCGTGGTCGCTAACGCTATACGAACGCATCCGGTTCGTCCGGTGGATTCGCAGGGGTTTGCGTTTTTGATTCCGAGGTGTGTGGAGGTGTCCACGTCCAAGACGGGGAAGCACGGCCACGCCAAAGCGCACATTGTGGCCATCGACATCTTCACAGGCGTGTGTCCAAGGTCCCATGTCCAGACGAAGCTGACCTGAAAAAAGGGGTGTCCTTCACTTCTTCCTTTCAAGAGTCAAGTTTCCTCAATCGAAAACAAGGCAGCTGAGGGAGGGTATCTGGAATAAACCAGTTTCCTTTCAACCAGCAACAAGTTATGGCGCTTGGGCCACGTTTCTTGATGTGTCCGGTCTGCCAGTCATGATACGCATGCGGCAAGCAAACCGTTTTTTCGCTTTGTCCAGGGGCTACAGGTCAAGTCTGTCCATCTATTGGACCTGTTTTGGTTGAAGAATGGGAGCTTCTCAAAATGGAAAAGCCAATTTGGGTATTTGATTAGCAATTTAAAGGCAAGCCACCAGGAAACTACCCATTTTGACGGACCCATAAAAGCATGGCCTATTTTGAGAAACAGGAAGTCACCTCCAAAGCTTTGCAGTGTCTTTTGGAGGTATTTTTTAGGGGCCTGGGGCCCATTTTCGGTGTGTTTGAAAGCCAAAGGAAGGGTCCCAGCGCCCATCTCCCCAACAAATTGGTTGTTGTTTACTTTTGGTTTCCCTTCAAAACAATGTCCAACAAATGGGTCCCCCGAATAAAAGAAAAGAGAAAGAAGAAAAAACATAGGGCTTCATCGGTGGATGTTGTCCATCCACGGGTGCTGTTTTCAGGGCTAGATTGTTCCAGGTTTCAGGTCAATCAGCCCGTTTTTTTTTGGTTTTTTTTGAGAATGTTTTTTTTTTGCTGGTTCTTTTTGGGTTGTGAAAACATGAACCGTTTCTTGGTGGTCCCAGCCATCCATTAGTTTTTGTTTTTTTTTTTCCGTGTTTTGGGGGTTGAGTGGAAGTTCCCAATACACTCACTGTAGACTTTCAGTAATCAACAGCCCATGTCCGGGATCCCCGGCTTCTCTTTTTCGGTGGTCAGTTTCGAAGATGCCCGAAGTTCACTTATGAGAGACTTCATTCGGAGTAGTTGGATTGGGGTTTGAAGATCATTTTATGTGGGAGTGTGTCGTTTTTTGGCTCCACCCCCCCCCCCCGAAACAGGATATATACACTTAATTTTTTATGGCTTTTCTTTAGGTGTCCCTTCAAACCCAACCCCAAAAAGGGCACCCTCCGCCTCCAAAACATCCAGGAACCAGCCATGTGAGGGCATGCACCTATCAACGCCAAAGTCGCCAGGCAAGAAGATGGAGGATCTCTGCCCGTGCTCCCACAACTTGGATGTGCCATTTGCCACAGCCTCAGGCGTTTCCCGAGAGGTCCGGTGCCGTAGCTCGTGATGCGAAGACGTCTTTCGGATTTGCCGAGCCCAAGATTTGTTTGGGCGCCTAAAACGGGGAGAATCCGCTTTCCGCAGCCCGGACAAGTCCAAGGCTTTGGACAGACCACGGAAAGCAGAAGCGACCACGGGGCTTCCGGGTTCAAGGCTACGGGTATCGCAGGGCCCAACCGAGCTTCGGCCTCTTTTTGTTGACTCCCTTATAAACAACGAGAAACGGGGGGGGGGGGGGGGAACACCTAAGGAAAGGACACAAAGCAAAGCATGATGAGCTTCTAAGACAGACCCGCAGCAAAGCAACATTGAGCTTCTGGTTTCCACATCAAGTTGCAGGGCGCTTGTGGGCACGTCCTTATGGTTTGGCAGGTCCAAGTTTGGCTTCAGTTTTGTTGGCTGCTTTTGGACCCTGAATCGCATAAGCTTAATCATATTATAATATTTATAAATATATATATATATATACATTGTCTAAGTTTAAGGTCTATGTGAGGTAGGTTTTGAAGTGTTCCAGAGGGTTCTTGACGGAGAGTTGCGGCGACATTTTAGACGATGACGGGTTAGGGCGACGGGTAGGGTGACGAGTGAGTGCGACAACGACGGCCAGTGTGACGGACAATGTTGACAATGACGAAGGGCTCGACGGGCAAGGGCGACGATGACGCATGGGGCGACGGACGGTTTTGACGAAGATCAGCGGGGCACGGATAGGATGACGGACAGCTTTGATGATGGTTGAGCCAGACAAGACGGCAGCCAGGCGGCCAGGTTGACGTGTTTGCCAGCCCATCCATGGCTCTCATCATGGCATCAATCTGCTGCGCCTCCTCTTGCTCGCTGTCAGTCGGGTTTTCGACAGACGCGATCGGGACCAAAAAGCATGGCGGCCGCGACCGTCGCCGCAAAGCGGACAAGGGGCCGAGCCGACAACGCGAAATGAATTGCAGTTTCAATCGGCCACTGGTCATAGCTGATCGACTTTGACAACTCTTGAACAATTAGATGGAGACATGTAGACATGTCGAAGTCAGAGGTTGAAATTGCGAAATGGAGCTGGCCAAATTCCACGACTTGACGTGACGTGCTGACATTGGGACATACGGACTTGCGCGTCATGCGATTCCCCCATTCTACGATTGAGGCGCCAAGACCTGAATGGCAATTTTGAACACAACCGCAGCCCAGCAACCGTGAGCCGGACCACGCCGTCAATGGCCTCGACGAAGATCTGGTCTTCGGCTGGCAGGGCGCTTCATTGTGTTAGTCTCACTCTGGTTCACGGCTTTGATCCTGAGCGTGCAGTTAAAGACATACTGGCTCACAATCGTAGTGGGTCCTAGCAGGTCTGACCGAACGAACGCGTATATTTGGGCTCTTTGTTTTTAAAGCCACCAGAGCTTGCGCCTGGTTCATCCAGCTGAGACAAACAACAAAAACAAAAACATAGCTCTGCGAAGGCCAACATCGCAAGTAAGGCAACTGCAGGCGATGGCGACAGGGGCTGGATATGAAGCGTAGCTTGCGTTTCCTCAGGCTGTGCGTGTCGTCGGCTTAGCCACCGGACACTTTGCCCGCGCAAGGCCCATTTCGCTGCTCTGCAAAGAGTATAATTGAGGCAAGGGCGGTGCGCGCAGCCTACGCAGGAACCTGGCAAGCAGAATTGCAATGCAGAATTTCCAATATCAATCAAGGCCAAGCGCGAGGCACACCGCAAGTGTGAAAGATTTCGATCTTGCAGCGGGCTGTCCTGGCCGCATGCTGGCAATCGGAGATTTGCAGACCGAGGCCACGCCGGCCAGCGCAAAGACATGTGTTGCGTGTCACTTCCGGCCACGTGTCTCCTCGGCAGACTATGAAGAGCAGACGCTCCGCGCAGGGACATCGCTCTTTCTGCTGAGGGCTTCTTTCTCTGGAAGTTGGCGAATTGAGGAAGATTTTCTTAACAGCCGCCTGTAAAGGGGCATCCTGACAGAACTTCTTAGGCGTCGCGACGGTCACAAGGCCAGGCAGAAAGAGCCGTCGATGTCGCCAGTCGGCGCCGTCAATGTCGTTAGTCAGCGCTGTCAACGTCGTCAGTCGCAAAAATAAGCCTTATTTTTGGCAAAATAAGCCTTATTTTTGGTAAAATAAGGCTTATTTTACCAAAAATAAGGCTTATTTTTGCGACGGACGACGTTCACGGCGCTGACTGACGACATTGACGGCGCCGACTGGCGACATCGACGGCTCGTTTTGCCTGACCTCTTGACCGTCGCAACGCCTAAGAAGTTCTGTCAGGACGCCCAAGCGGCTGTCAAGAGAAGTCTTTTTTATTTCGCCCCTTCCAGAGAAAGAAGCCAGCCTCAGAAAGAGAGCAATGTCCTTGCGCGCAGCGTCAGCTCTTCGTAGTCTGCCTCAAGGAGGCATGCGGCTGGAAGTGACACGCAACACGGCAGCGCGCTTGGCTCAAGCCATCAGAATTAACTCAATACTGACAAGACTCTGCAAACATGTCCTTGCGCTGGCCGGCGTGGTCTCGGTCTGATTGTATTCTTTGCAGAGCAGCAAAATTGCGTTGTCACTCAGGCCTACGTGTCCGGCGGCTAAGCCGACGACACGCACAGCTTGAGGAAACGCAAGCTCCAGCCCCTGTTGCCATCGCCTGCAGTTGCCTTACTTGCGATGTTGGCCTTTGCAGAGCTATGTGTTCGTTTGTCTCAGGTGGATGAACCAGGCACAGGCTCTGGTGGCTTTAAAAACAAAGAGCCCACACGCGTTCTGTCAGACCCGCTAGGACCCACCACTGTAGCGTTTGCTTCAGCCTGCCTTGTTTTTGGCCTTGTGAGCCAGTGTGTTGCGCGCTCAGGATCACGGCCGTGGAGCAGAGGAAGCTTCACACATCGAAGCGTCCTGCCCAGTACACGGTGGACTTGCCAGTCTTCACGAAGATCGCTGGGTCCCAGCCAGCCGAAGACCAGATCTTCGTCGAGGCCATTGACGGCGCGGTCCGGCCCAGGGTTGCTGGCCTGCGGTTGTGTTCAAAATTGCCATTCAGATCTTAGCGCCTCAACTAGCACGCAAGCTTCCTAGTAGAACAGTCCGTATGTCCCAATGTCAGCACGCATGTCAAGTCGTGGAATTTGGCCGTCGTGCTGGACTTGATTGTGCCGTCGGTTGCAGGCAGGCAGCTGTTGAGGCTGCAGGCCATCACGCCAAAGGAAGAGAACTTGCACAAGTTTTCAGTTTGTACGCAGCCTCATCTCGCAGTTTCAGCCTCTCACCTTTGAAACTCGATCAGCTATGACCAGTGGCCGATTGAAGCTGCAATTTATTTCGCACTGTCGGCTCGGCCCCTTGTTAACTTTACGGCGACGGTCGCGGGCGCCATGCTTTTGGCCCCGATCGCGACTGTCGAAAACCCGACCAACAGCGAGCAAGAGGAGGCGCAGCCACGATGAGAGCCATGGATTGGCTGGCAAGCACGTCAGCCCGACTGACTGCGCCATTTGATCAAGACCCTTTTGACTAACGCATGTCCACGCGCAAGATGCGCCAAGCAAACTTGATCAAGCCTGTGACTTGTAGAGAAGATGATTGAGATGGAAGCAGAAGCCAAGCAGCCACGTTGCGCGAAGGGAACAAGCAGCCATAGTTGCAGTTGCGGGCGCCAGCCCTGTCGCCCATTGACAGTTCCTTCTTTCATCCTTTTCATCCATTTTCTTTTCTATAGGTTTGAGGCGTTTGTTTGTTGTTGTCGACGCTGTCGTCCGTCGCCGCCGTCGCAACCGTCAACGTCGTCCGTCGCCGTCGTCGCAACCGTCAACGTTGCCACGTTTCCTGCCACGTGTTATCGTCGGAGCCGTCGTCGTCCTCGCGGTTCCCCGTCGGGTGGGTTGCCACACGCCCCCGTCATGATTCCAGCTGGGAACCACACATAGACTTTAAACTTAGATAATATATACACATATGATATTATATGCACTCCCATCTTCCATATCGGTGGTCCGTTCGAAAGGTATGTCAGGTTATTGTTGTTGGAAATTGTGGACGTGTGGATTCTGAGGGTGCGCTTTTTGAAAGGAAATGGTTGCCAGTTGGGTCCAAAGCCTTCCATTTTCAGACACCCCGACAACATACAAGAGCATAACTGCTTCGTCATGCTTGACTCTGCCTCCAAACTGAGTGTGTTCCTTTTGGCTCCGCTTTAAACGGTGAGAAAGCGAAGCTTTCGCCCAATGGAAGTGCCACCTCCTCAGGGCCCCAGACCTATTAGCCCTATTGGGATTGGGGCGGCCCTTGACCAGGACATCTACTTGTTTGCAATCCCGGAGGGGTCGTGGATTTTCTCGCGGTGTTCCTTTGGTTTCCCTTCAAGCCAACCTGAAAATTTGTTTGGTGGCCTCAACAAAAGACGCCAGCCAAGCCCAATTGAGGCACAATCAAAACCCGGGTAAGTGAATTTTAGTAAGGGAAAGACCCAGCCAGAATTAGTTGCGGCCGCCTTTCTAGTTCTTAACATGGTTCTGGGTTAATCATTTTTGTGTCAGGTTTTGATTATGACTCAATTGGTCCGAGTCTCAAACGGTGTCACCTGCCCAGGTGAAGCGGACAGAGTACCAGGTGCTTTCGGCCGACGCATCCTCCGGCCACTCGACTTAGCCAGTTGCCAGTCGGTTTCCTGGCCCCCGGCATGGTGCCGGTTTTTTGGAGGCGCAGTGTCCGAATTCGTATGAGGCGCGTCGTGATCGACTCAATGCCATTCATAGGTCAAAGTGGCTTCCTCTTAGTTTCCCTCCAGGCCTTCGATTCCAGAAGCACGCCCAAAGTTGTTTGATTCCAGGCACCCAGATTCCAGTTCCCCATAGCTCGCCAGCTATTTTCTGGCTCTTTACATAGGGGTCCCTTGGTCACCCACAAAACCAGATGGAAGCACTGGCCATACCTGGCTTCTCTAAACAGGCCTCCGAGAGCCTCCAAAAAGACCTAAAAGCCGAGCGCCGAAACCGGCATATATATATATATATGTATATATTTAAGCACCGGAAAAAACAAGTGCATAACAAGCCGTAGAAGTGGATGTGATTTGGGGTCTTGTTTGTTTTTGGGAATGTTAAAACATCAAAACACAAATCGCACCCTTAACCAGGTGTTGAGTGAGTTTCCTCGGGTGTTTTACAGGTTGTGTTTTCGGTTGCGACCCGGAATCCAAGAACAATACTGGGGTTGGCGCGCCCTTGTCACAGTGCACGGGGAGCCATCGAGAGGTCTGTTTCTTCACATGTGCTTGAGAACCAAGTGCATGCGACGTTCAACATCAAGAACTTCACAACACCAATCAGCGTGTTTCTTGGAAGCGGGCTTTTATTGGGGATCCCGTTGTTTTTCTTGCTGGTGAGATAGGTAGGAAATGAGAAATGGAATGAACCTGGGGATCCCCTTAAAGGAAACCACCAAAAGCAGTTGTTTTCTCGGGGTCCTTCCATAGCTCTCATTCTCTGCTGCCTATCACACCAGCAAGTTTCTTCCCTGAGCAGCAAGTTGGCCATGGGTCAAAATCCAAATCGTACCCCCGGTGAACATCCGATTCCAATCCAACCACTAAACTAGGTTCATTCAAATGGGTGGCGAATTCAGCAATCCCAACCAAAATGGTATCCGATCCAAAACGGTCTAATGACCACAGCCGCTTTGCCGGGTTCCTCCACACTCGCGTCTTCGGAGACATGTCTTCGGTCGCGGTCCGAGGAGAGGTGAGCCTGCTCACCGAGGCCGGCGATACCAAGGCGGGGGGCACGAAGGCCAAAGGGGAAACGCCGCGTGTTGCAACGGCCCAAAACGAATCTCCGAAATGCCGGGCATGGGGCAAATCATGCCAGGAATCGGGCCGCAGGGTTTAGTCATTTCCACTTACCAGGGTAGCCCATTTTGGGCACCTATTGTTGACCCACGCCCAGCTGGAGGGCCGTTTTTTGCCCCGGACCTTTAAAGGGGTGAGCCGGCCTTGGGGCATCACCTGAAGAGCTTTGTCGCCATTGCCGCAACAAGCTGATGGATGTTACAGTCCTTTCCAAATGCCAAACAGCTCACCAACAAGGCAGTTAGCACCCACTGATAAACTTACACCTTGGGAGTTTTGGCAGCTTCCCAATTTGGAATGGTTAATGAACAAAAGAGAGCAAACTCACTTGGCAAGGCTCCAACTCAGATGCATCCTGCATGGGTGCATTAGGTGGGGTCAACAAGGAAACCATGCTCATCCGCTTTTAAAAGTCCTCCGCTTTTGAACAAATATAAAAACGTGTTGCTCTTCTGTTTGCACATTGTAAGCTCAAAAATGGGGATTCCCAAAGCGCCGGCCTTCCTGTTGGTTTCAAATTCCCTGTCACGGTTCCGCTAATCCCTCCAAAAAACAAAAGAGGTGTGCTTGAGTGGCCAAATTGCATTCTTTGCAGAGCCCTGTTTTTTTTCACGAACCCTGGGTACCCCCCCAAAACAAAACACATGACACTACAGACAATACATACAAAAACAAGAAAACAACATGAAGCGGCACGCCTGTTTGGGCAATTGACTATTTCCAAACTGATTAATCATTATGCCCCCCCCCCCCCCCTTACGGATCTCACGGGCGTTCTTTGGATCATTTGCCCACGCCGAGCCACTGGTTTCCCATGGCTTCGGCGGCTTCTGGATGGTTCCAGGTAAGCCAACATGGGCGCGTGCGTTCTTTTGTTTTTGTTATCGGCTCCCAAAAGCGTCACGGCCTTCCCTTAAACCACACTAAAAGTTGGTGCCCTCAAGACAATGACACACACACGCACAACGCATGGGGGCCAGACAAACATTTCCAAGCCGCAGGAAGGGCAATCCGTCAAAGGGCAGTGCTCAAATGGTCCTCGGCTCCCCGTTTTTGGCTAAGGGCTAGCCATGTCACTTTCATAGCGCAGGATGACTTGAACTTGCCGACTTTCGTGAAGATTGGCGAGCCCACGGAAGAGGAGCGATTCTTTTTTTTCACCGGCGATACCCCTCTGATTCGGGAGATTGTCCGGTGATGAAGGTGTTCTGTTTGGGGTTGTTTCTATAACGATTCCTCGCGCCCTGTTTTTGTTAACGGCTGTGGGTCAAAACCAATGGGATACCAGTTTGGTTGCTAGGTGAATTCACCACCCATTTTAGAACCTATTTTAGTGGGGATTGGGATGTTCACTGGGGGTACGATTAGATTTTCCGGTGATGAAGGTGGCTTTTGTTTGCGGCGTCCTGGTTTCCATAACGATTCCTCACTTGGGGTCCCCGACTCGTGAATTATGGTTTGGTTACCCAGATGTGACAGGGTTTGCAACTGTATGTACCAAGGCTTGAACCCTTCTCAGCGACAAACTAGTCGTGAAAAAAGGGATAGACCTCCGGACTGTTTGACAGATGTTCCTTTCTTGTCCGAAACCAGGCAAAAGTCAACCGAGCCAGAACCAAAACACGGGTAAGTGAAGGTTAATTAGTAAGGGACAGTCAAAACAAGAATTAGGTGCGGTAGTTCTTTGCATCGGTTTGGGTAGACCATTTTGATAAAGATCGGTTTTGATTGTGACTTGACTTCAGGCCCTTGAAAGGTCCAAGGGCCTTCAGCGTATATTTTCCGGGTAACCAAATTCGGTTTTGAAGTTTCCACAATTGTATATATATATATATCAACCCATTATACATATATATATATATATATTTATTTATATTTATTTATATGTATATTACCAATAGAACTGACCCAGGGGAAATCTGGGCAAATCTGAGGCATACTGTGACACCGAGTTTTCGCGGTGTTTCCTTTGGGTTGCTGTTTGGTTTTCCCCGCGTGTTTTCCGCAGAACCAGATACGGACTCTTGACAGTTCGGGATCACCAGGTGAGGCACGATGTTTTGGCTGGAACTCTTGGATAAGTTAGCGCAATGGTTCCATTTACCTGTACAGTTGGTAACCACCTGAGGGAACCACCACTTAAAAGCAAAAATACAATGACTGGCTAGCTATTATAGTGGCAAATCAGGATCCACCGGGTAATGTTAAGTGGATTGGGCACCCACCAAGCAAGCACGGACTTTAAGGCAAGCGACGTGCTGTTTCCGTTGCTATGGCGGGCCAGCCGCCATAGCTACGTAATGCTTCGAGTTGCTGTCTGCTTTGGCGGGTACTGTGAATGGTATGTTTTCCTCAAGTGCGCTTCACGGCGACTGGTCACTTTGGTTTGACGTTGGATTGGTTTGGAGGTTTGAGCTCCTGGTTCTTGTGGGCACAAAGCCACCCAACCCCGAAACCAGCAATCGAAAACTTAGGGAGCAACAAGTGGTTCAGCTCTACAGCGTGTCACCCTTTGTTCACTTTTTTGTTTTGGCGGATTCCCCGCAAATGGTTTCCATGTCCTTTTGGTTTATACATCGCCTAACCTCCGAACCGCCAAATCCAAGGCACAAATGACGCCGGCCACTGGTTTCTTTGGTCTTTGTCCACGCCCAAAGTCGCAAAGGGTCCCAGGGTCCCTTCTGAGGAGGTACTGAACGACCCCTTTTTCCCCAACCAAAAAGCCCATCCTCATGAAGTACCAACTTTTTTCTATCGGCTCCTCAGGATTCCAAGGTGGTTAAGGACCTCCTCACCGAGTTGGAGAAAGGCGGCTCCGATTCGATGGCCGATTTTTGGGAAGGCGTGATGACCCTTAAAAACTGGGGTCATTTCTAATTACCCAAAATTAAGGGGTCATGGACCCATTGTTTAAGGGTTCTGGAGACTCTAGGTACGGGTCCTCAATTTCAGGATCCAATTCTTGCTTCGGGGTTCGGAGTTACAATATTTAGATTGTGAAAACACATGGGTGTGGCTCAAAAATAAAGACCCAGGGTTACGCAGGTTTTAGTCTACTTTTCCATTTACCAGGGTTCCATTTTGGGCCCCTATTTTTGATCCACAGCCACATTGCAGATATATTGGGATCCCTTCAACAAACCCTGCAGGAATGCAAGCCACGAATTCGCAAAAGCCTGCATTTGACTACCCCTAGGATTTTGTGGTTTCTTCCTTACCCCCCCCGAGTAACTTCTTAGTACCCGTGTTGACCCTGAAAACATCACAAGGGACAAGGTGAGCTTTGGCCTGTTGCCATCGGCTTCTCCAAGGCTTTCAGTTGAACATCCCCCGCAATCCCAAGATTCAAAGGTTCGGGTTGGGACCATTCCTGAAACCCCATAGAACGGGTTTTTTACTGAATGGACGTTGCATGAGGTTTGCTCCGAAAAGATGGCTGTTTCTTTTGAGGCCAAAATGCCCTCAAAAACGGGTGGAAAATGAATGCAATGCAAAAGAACTCTGGCACCTCTTAGTGGGGGGTCTATGTCACTCATTTAGAGATGTGCTCATGTCGCTTCGCATGTGTCGGGTGACAAAACTCGCAAAGGGCTTTCGGAGATTGTGCATGTTGGCCGAACACAGAGGGTGTCACGGTCTACTGGCCACATCTTGTTTCGAGGGGATAACACGAGCGATATCCTCGAAGACTCCTGAAGGCGCCTTGAAAACCGCGACATCTACTTCCTAATATCACCGGTTCACAAGGGTACAATTCAATGATTGGACGACTCGTTGTTTTAAGTCCGCCAATCGCACTATCCGCATGTGGCTTGACGTTTCGCGGGTAGCAAGTTGATTCATTGATGGATTGCCTCTTGTTAAGCTGCGCAAAACCCGTTGGGGGCCTCCAACCTTTGCAAGTAGATGGGGTTCTGACGGAACAAGCACGAGTTGCCAAACTCACCCAATTCGGCATCTCATGCAAACCACCTCTCAGAAAAATGGACGGACTTGGGGCCCTTCGTTTCGTCCAAGCCCAGATACAGCATTCGCGGCCTTTCACCCCATTCCAGGCCCATTTCAGGGTGCGACCTGTGTCTGTTTTGTGGAGAATAGGGCAAGGACTATAATGTTGACCCAGGATAAATACACCCGTCCCACCATTAGGGGGGTGAAGACCCCTCCAAAAGTGATGAATCCCCACTAAAAGGAATTGGACACCCCCCTATTCAATCAACCATGGCTTATTAATCCGGGGTTAACATTACAGACCTTGGCGCCTACAGTCCCTTTGATTTGTCGGGACCCCAACTTGGGACATCGCCGAATCGAATTCGATCAGGAGACAAGGCGGTCAGCTTGGCTGCACTAGACGTCTGGCCTGTTTCCCTTTTCTTCCAGCCGGCCCTGAAAAAGAGACAATGAAAGAGCATCTCGACCACTTTGGGTTTTGGACATCTCGCCTGTATCGTGGGTTTTTAACATCTCCCATGAAAGGGTACATAGTAAAAAGGACATTTCCCAGCCCAAAGGTGTGTTTAAACACCACTTTGGCCCTTGTTGACATGCGGAAGTAAACTTGCAAGCTTCCCATTTCCCCCTATCCCCAATCAAACCTGCTATTCGTCATTCCTTAGGGTGAATTTGTTCGTCCCAGAGGAAACTGAGCTGGTTCAAAGGAACCTTGTTGGGGAGTGTCATGGTAAATCAGGAGTGAAATTCGGAAGTTGTATCGAAGTGTTGAGGGCCTAAATTAGAGCGAAGTTCTGGCGTATTGTACCACTTGAAGCCATGGCCTGTACGTAATCATCTCGCCCCACGCAAACGAAACCACAACACACAACACACAACAGGCACGCACACCCATCATATGTCGCGTTTTCAGAGTCATGGACCCCTCAATAGGGATACAGGTGCAGAGTTACAAGTACCAAGTACCCATGTTTTTTTGGTGGAAAGTATCTATCATGCGGGATTCCCCACCCCCCATTTGTTTCCATGTGGCCATGGGTCAAAACCCCGTGCCCCAATAAACATCCCAATCCCCACTAAATTAGACTAACATGGGTGGTGCATCTATCCCAAAACGGTACCATGGCCATGTCGCGAAGTTGTAGTGTCCACCCACCCTTTTGGCAAGCCCAGATTCAACGACAATGTGTTTTGTACAAGTGTGGCGGGAGAATCACTCTGCATTGCAAAGGTTGCTGGCATGAGTCTCCCGGCCGATGGTGCCCCCAAATTCCATTGCTTTGGATGGAAAAGATTTCCCGTCCAAGTCAGCTCCTCTGGGGATGTTTTTCCGTTAAACGCCATCAAGTTCAGAACTTCCTTTCTCTTTTTTTTGGACTCTGGTTTGGTTGTTTTGTGTTAGGTCGTCAATCCGTGTCCGTTTTTGCCCGGAAATCCACGGTACCTCTTTTGGATGGTTTTGAAGGGAAACAAAAGGATACACAAGGATACCGTTTTGTGTGAGTGTTTTTTGGGTGGAATGGTCCCCTGTTTTGAGACAAACCCAATCATTGCTTATATACCAAACATAGGTATATACGGGGTCCCTAGTTTCAAACAACACATGGATCTTTAAGTGGTACCCTTTGGACATCATGTTGGGTCGCGATTTATGCCCTCCAACAATTTGGGAGGGTGTTCCCCGTTAAAAACTCGCTGCCATTCCCTCCCCCCAAATGGGACTCATGAATATCGCCTCAGAGAGGGCCCCAAGTGCCAGGATATAGCTCCATGGCTGCCAGACAAAACCCAACGTTGGCTGGTCTAGCGATGGCCGTGTGTCTCTCTCTCTCTCGCTCTCTCTCTGTCTCATTGGGGGTCGGTTGAAGCCAAATGCGAGGCCATCCATTTTTAACAGGCACAGTTGCATTAGTCGCACCCGGGTATCAATTTGGAGACTTGTTTTCAATTCCCATGGCTGCATAGAGACTCACATGTTGGATTGTACCCTGTGACGACCAGAATCCCATGTCCGAAAGACCGTTTTAGTGGTTGCAACTCCAACAAATTCGATGCTGGAGTTCCCTTATGGATGAAGGCAGCCCTTTGTGACTTGGAAAGACACCTCTGGGGGATTACGTGATGTTCAACCTCGGGTTTGTAGACCGGAAGTAAAGTGTCGGATTCAGGGCTCAAAGAATTTCTGTTACAGAAATGGGGGTCCAAGAATGGAGGGCTTCCTGTGGGGTCGAAGTGCCACTCTTGCGTTACCGATTGGATGGTTCTCCGAGATTTCTAGATCTTCAAATGCACTGGGTGTTGGGGTCTCTTTGGTTGGATCCCCAAATGGGCGGGTCCTTTTTATGGTTGGACCCCCAAGTCGGCGCAAGGGTTTGTCATTTGGGGGTTTGCCTTCACACAAGTCAGGGTAGCAACTCCATTGGAAGCTACCAGGTTGAGGTTTTGGCGGTGGACGAACAAGCAAGTTGATTGGATGTTCGCGTGTGCCAGGGTACAGCAAGGGCACCACCACTTCTTAAACGGGAACAAAACCCACTCGTTCCAACCGACCTCCTCTTTTTCGAATAGTTTTTCGTTTAAGCAGTGGTTCAAGCCACCAACATGTTAAAACAACTTCCTATTTTGTGTTTTTCGTTCAATCCACCAACCTGTTAAACCAACCTACTTGGTCTTTTCGTTCAAGCCTGTGGCCCAAACCACCAGCAACCCGTTTCAACCGCTCCAATTCGTTGCCCCCGGGCCACCTTGCCCGGGGCCCCGGGGCCCCGGGGCGCCGCGGCGGGAGTTAGGTCTACGCCATCGTGCAGAGCGCTTGCGGGGAGGAGAAGATCATCGCCACGAAGCTGGTCTGAGGCGCCGGGTGGGGGGTTGGGTAACGAGTAAAAGGGAGGGCGAAAGAGCGGAAAACGCGGCAGGTGCCCCAGCAATTGGTGCCCTTTTTTAGCGTTTCTTTTTTGGTGGGGAGGGAAAACCCCCTGCTAAAATAGGTCGCCTTATTCTAACCTCTCTACTGGAGGACCTAGTTAATTATCCATGGGGGGGTGGTGATATATGTGCAATCCATGGGGGGTAATAGTTACCATCCAAGGAGGTTGGTTTGTTTGTTTTTGAGGGCGGGGGGCTGACAGGAGCTCAATCCTCGGATGATATTTGTTTTTGTTTTTGTTGGCGGGGGGACAGGAGCTCAGGCACTTTTAGGCTTGACCTTTTCAACAATGGTGCTTGTTTTTTTTTTTTTTTTGTGTGTGTGGACCCCATTTGGCGAAAAGGCTGATTCGGCATTCGACGACCATATCGCGGCGTTTGGTGGGACACCTGGGCTTTTGCGAGGTGACCCCGTTTTTGTCAGCGTTTTTGTTCGGGCCACCCGGCGGCCGGAGACGAAGCCAAGCTCAGGTAGCTGACCAAGCGCTTGTGCTCTGAAACAGACATCTTGATTGCGGAAGTGGCCAAAACAGTGCATGTTTTCCGGAAATCAAAAGTTAGTTTATGGAATGATCATTTGGTTAGGAACCACAAGGAATGGCTAGGTCAGTCCCTCATTTTGTACTAAGAACCAGCAAGAAGGTGTTGAAAGGTTCCCCTCCCGCTATCTTGGAGCTTGGCTGGGTCCTGGAAAGGACCTTGCAGTGGGTCCCATGTCAGTTGGTGGGTACCACACTTTTGCAGCGGTTTTGCCAACTTCCATGAATAGAGGTCCCATAGGGTTTGAAGGCAAGGGGTTCCCCATGACTGGGTATGTGTCAAAATGGGATTTGTGTGGACCCCGGCAAAGACAAGCTTCGGCTTTCCCAAACCAACCAGAAGCTCCACCCCGGCATGGCTTTGAACTGTGGTCAAAGGCCCCGTAGTCCATTTTTGGGCCCAGGGATCGACTCAAACCCAAAAAATCATATGGCCTCAACCACTGGGTTGCAGATGGGGCCAAACAACGGAGCTAGCTCGGCCTCTGTCCGGGCAAATTCCTTCATGACTTCGCCGATGCGAAAGTAGCGACAAGCAATGATCAAGATCCAGTGAGCTTGTTTTGGTGCAGCGTGTGCATGATTTCGTACCTTTGCGCAGACGGGTTTGCATTTTCTTGGGGTCCTACCCGTTTTAGTGTGCGTTGGGTTCGTTTACAAGCAGGACTCGTGCCTGGTCAATTTGGGTACGCCGTGTTTGGGCCCGCCGGCATGGGTGGCTTGCTTCTGGCTTCCCTTGAAATCCACAAAAAAGTTAGGGTACCCTCAAACGACGAGCCGGCCCTTTTTGTTAACCCGCGGCGCCGTCGCCGCCGTTTTTGTTTTTTGTGTTTTTCTTTGTTCTCCGCCCGAAGGCGATTGAGCCAGTGAGGGTCGAATCGCGGCTTTTGGCTCTGGCTAGGGGTCCCTGGATGGACACAGTCCAGAAGTGTCTCTGCCCCTGATGACATCTGCAGAATTTATGGCGAGCGCACCGATTCGAGCTCATGGTAACGATGCGCTTGGCTTGGAGATCCCTTAGTTCAGACTTTGGAGTTATTGAAAAACAAATGCAGAAACGAACATCCATTTGCTTAAGAATGTAATGTTTTATTTTCCCAGTGTTTTAAAGGGAGTCTATCACTACTGGACATATGTTCTCACTTGTTCCAAGGGGCTCAAGCAAATGGAAGTTAACAACTCCCCCTCCCCAATCTATGAAAGAATCGGCGGGGGTGTCTTTAGTAAAGATTCCTCTAATCCAGGTAAGAAACCCGTCTTCATAACTGGAGTTTCTTCATCTGGGGTCAGCAGCAACTCAAATCCCATGGGGCCGGAAACTCGTGGGTTCATTAAAATTTCCTTAAACCATCACCTGCATGAGTTCGGGGCATCACCTCTCCGTAAAAAGGTTCTTGTCGTCTTGGTGTTCTTGGGGCCAAATTCATGTGACTTTTGACGGTGATACGGTACTGGTGATTGGTGGACTGGGGTATTTGCAAGATGGCTGTGGCTCAAAAAACCGGAATTCCAAAATGGGTTGCCCGATCGGTAAGTGGAAACATGGACCAACACCTGCGGTTTGCCCCTCCTGTTTAATTTTGAGCCACACCCAGATTCTCAAAGATAAAATCCCCCAAAAGGTTCTTGCCTTTCACGCAAAAAGTGGCCTTACCCGCGGTGAATGCCCCAGCTCTTTTATTCGGAGCACCCAGAATCATGGGACGGGGCTGGGAGATCTTCCCAGGGCTCATGGAAGCCCCCCCCCAAAAAAAATGCGATCCGAAAGGTGGCTTGCGACGAGTCGATCAGTGAACAATGGGAACGATCGGAGAGCAAAAGGGCCTCTTAAAAGCACAACTTTTCAACTTTTTGGGTAACATGGGCTATATGTCTGCAAAAGATTAACTTCCCCAGGGCTTGGAGTTTTAAGGGGTAAGAATTACAAGTGTTGCTAGTTGCTGGGCATGCTCTGTTCCCTGGAATTCCTTGCCCCCAGTAAAAGAATGGCAAGGACCCGAATTAGGGTCAATGGTGGTGATAATACCCCCCTTTGTTTTCATGTGATTTTCCATCCCAGGGGAGTTCACTCACAAACGGGTCGCACTCGGGTACAGTGAGCCACGTGGTGTCGTTTGGGTTCGGGGGCCCCTGGCCACATTTTGCAGCCTGCCACGCGACCAGCCCAGGATAAGCTGGCTTGGGCGGTATGCGAACGGGGAGATTTGGTTAGATGGATATCAGTCGTTAGCTCTTTGATCCGAGCTTTCTTTTAACCTGTAGGGATTACCCTCCCACCAACTAAGATGGAAGTGCACAACCCCCCTGTCCACGAGGAAAGTAGTCTTTCCGCAGAGGTCTGTGCACGTCCATGTTAGAAGGGAGGGTAGTTCACTTCTGCTTGGATTTGCTCATCTTCCAATCCCTAGGGATTTGTTCCATTTGGTCGGAAGTCACAGTTTGACCTGCGTATTTGAACAAACGTTTGTTTCCCTGCCAAACTTGGTGGCTCCCAGCCATCCCCTAGCCTTTTAGTGTTCGGTGGTAGTTTCCATTTGACCCACTAAAATATATTCACTTTTAGCGGCGGATCTGAGGGCAGCCCAGATGAACAAACTGTTTGTTTCCCTACCAAACAGTTTAGTTGCTTGGATCACTTGGAGCCAATGGAGCTCCAGCATATTCGGGAAGGACAGAAATGTGTACGGTGCCTCCAGAGCGATTGTGTCGCGGAAATGGTTGCGTCTTGTTATTGTGGCGACTTTTTGTTTGGCAGAAGTGGGGAGCACCAGTTTTTTTTTTTGTATTTTTGGGGTAGGTTTTTCAGGCACCATTTGGGGAGCACCCCGGGAGCATGCCGCCCAACTACCTCTGGGTTTCCAATGAGAGAAGAGGCTCGGCGGTCGGACACGACATCTTGACAGCGGGTTTCGGAAAAACAACGCCGGCGCGGGTGTTTGCGATGCGATGACCTCTGGAGGACAAAAAACGTTCGGACGGGTTCTAGGTGAAGCATGTTCCCATTGCACTGGACAACGTCCTTCCGAAGCAAGCCCTTTTGTTCGAACCCACAGGTCACCCAAAAGCACCGAATCATTCTCCTGTGTTCGGAGCTCGGAGCTCGGTTCCTGGATGTCAATCCGCAAGCCTAGCAAGCCGAGTTACCTTGAAAACGGAGGAGTTGAAAACAAAAGGAAGACCACCCCTCTTTTGGGGTACCCGGTACCTCAAACAAATACAAGCCCAATTACCACTGATGTGAATTTTCCTTGTGCCAGGGCAGTGGAGTTTTGTGTGGCGTTTTGAATCATAAAAGCTCGCTCAAACAGATGCCAAGCTTGGTTTCGGTTTTCAACCTTACACTTCGAATTCCCATCAAGTGTTGAACGAAGCGCCCTTAAGGATCCTGGGCTGTTGGCAAATTGTCACTTTGACCTTTGGCGAGTACAACTTGAAGCTTTTGTGTTCCTGCTAAAAACGTTTTAAGCCAACATAGAAGTGCAGCTGGCGTGTTGGGTTTTACTTGGTTGCCGAAGTGCTCTAGTGGCAGTTGCAAGTGGGACAGGGATCATGTTGACTTCCCATGGAAAAGCTACAGTGATGGGTTCCAGGAATTGAAGACTGGGTTCTGCCGCGAGTTGAACAACTAGTTTCCCAGGCCAGTGGCGGCCAAAAAACGCCAGCCCTGTACCTTTTTTGCGCCAGGGGCCACTGAAAGAAACAAGAGAAGCCGAGCACGTCACGTGGCTTTTTTCTTTTTGTGACGCTTCATATGTGGCCTGGAACAAACAGCACCAAAAAAGTCGTCATGCCATTCTCAAAGCAACCATTGAAGAGGGCACCTCTCCCACTCCAATGTTTCCACTCATGGCAAAAAGCATGGGGCATCCCATTTCCCATTTCCCCAAACGTCTGGTGCTTGGAGTGGAGCCAAGGAGCTAGGGGTATCCAGATTTGCTTTCCAAAGAGGGAGCTATTCAGCTACCAAGGAGTTAGATAAAGACATTTTGGCGGACACAACATGAACTCCCAGACTGGAAAAGGGCTCGGGTGAAGGGAAAGCAGAAGGTTAAAAAAAAAAAAAAACGAGTTGAGGAGTCCCCAAGTTGACGGCTTCCTTTCGTCTGCCTTGACGGTTTTTGGGCCCAAAGGGGGTGGCCCAAAGGGCTGTGCATCCTTCCACCGGAATTTCTCAGAACCCTAGGAGCATGCTGGCAAACGTAGGTGAGGTGATAGTGGACATGTTGGTTTAAGAGACACAACTTATGCAGGGGACTGTTTGCAGATCTCTCATGGGCATTTTAGGCACCAGCCATTTCCCATAGCTTTTGGTGAAGCTCCATGCTTCTTGAGGAGCTGGTTTTGGCGTGCGTTTTGGTGAAGCTCAGTGGTTTTCTATAGTCACCGTGGTAGGCAACTAGGGTACCATGTAAATTCAAAGGGTCAAAGTAACTCGTCGCTATAGTCGGCTTGGGATAAATCTCAGTTTTGGGAAGCTGTTGAACTTGCTTAGGACGTTTGTTGGGAATGAATCCTTTGGGATCCCCATAAGAACATATGCTTCAACGTCCAGGAATGGTCACCTTTGCATCCTGCCCCCCCCCCCCCCCCCCTCACTTTTTCGGAAATCCCGGAGCTTGACTCCGCGTCCCTTTTTCGAGGACAGGGGTTTCGGGTGGCCCTTTTTCGGACCACGAAACCGAGCGCAGTCGGACCTTAGGTCAAATGCGTCACCTCATTGCCGACCGTTGGCCTAAAACCGCAAACTACCCGAAGACGAGTGAGCGATTGCCAACCAAAAACTCATGGTTGGTGATGTCCACATGGGTAGTTTGAGGGTCCAGGTGGGCCAATCACCATTTTGGGGACTCCAAGTCAGTTTGAATCATTTTTTGTCTATCGATCCCGCCAAAAAGTCCGTCGTCTGCCGCCCTGGCTCCCAGCTTTTCCAGGGCACCGTTCCATCCCGACAGCTACATGACACTTTTCGCGGGAAAGAACTGCTGTGCCCCTGGCTTTCAGAGCAAAATTGGGCCCAAGTGTGCAATCCCCTCTCATGCCCCAGCCTGAATAGAGTGTTTTTTTCAGTTTTTTCGCTGACCCAAAGTCCTAAAGAAGGCCTCTGCCAAATCGTACCAAAGTCGTTTCATCGTTTTTGTTTGCCTGCTGAACGGATTCTTTTGTGCACGTCCCAAAACCCAAAACCCCAGTTGGAGCCTTAGGGGCACCGCTGTTCCTTCCTCAGCCGTGCAAGCCCAACGGATGGGCAGCAAGTTTCGTTTTTTAAGCCTCCGACTTCCAACATGAGGGCAGCGTTTTTTTGTTGGCTTTCACCTTAGGCCATTGGTGCTTCCTCCAGACCTTCAGCACAGAAACGGAGGGAACGTTTCTCTCCTTTGCTTAGTATGGCAACGCCATGAACGCCTCTCCGGTGCCACTCGTCCATAGAACTGGCGCAAGCGGCTGGTGGACTGAGCAGAGTTTCGTGGGTGGTTGAAAGGGAAACCAACCAGGGACAACCACCGATTATGGGCGGGGTGCGCGCTTTTTTAAGACATGCCCAAGTGGGTACAGCATACAGATTATATATTTATATATGTTTGTATATGTTTGAGATGTACTATACATATTTGTATATCAGAGTGTTAGTCATTGCAAGGGTTGTGGGGTAACCCGATGTGAGTGAGATGGGAATTGTCGGCTAGCAATTGTTCGGCCCCTTTTGTTTTGGTAGCATGCAGGATAAGAACTACGAAAACATCAAGGAAGCTGTGAAGCTTGAACATGTCCCTGAAGCTCGGGCAAGCAGGGCTTTGGACCATGGCATGTTTATCATGTGTGGGTGTGTTTGTGCCATGTAAGTGTTTGACCTGTTTGGTTTGCCTGCCTGCCTGCCTGCCTGCCTGCCTGCCTGCCTGCCTGCCTGCCTGCCTGCCTGCCTGCCTGCCTGCCTGCCTGCCTGCCTGCCTGCCTGCCTGCCTGCATGTGTTTGCTTGCTTGCTTGCTCGCTGGCTTGCTCGCTTTCTTGCTGTAACACACTGAAT